ATGGACACTGGGGACAAGACGGACAGGCTGCTTCACACCTGTGGGACCTGGGGCTGCTTCACACCTGTGGGAACTGGGGCTGCTTCACACCTGTGGGACCTGGGGACAATCGGGGCTGCTTCACACCTGCAGCAGAGTCTTGCAGAGTAACTCCGGGCAGTGTGAAGAACCGTCTGGAGCAGACTTGGGGCCTTATTCTCAAGGAAAGGGGGGCGTGAGCCAACTAGCAATAGTTAATTAAAAACAAAAACCAAGCAGTAAAGCTGGTCATCTAGGACCTGGCCTCAGTGCTTGTGGGCTTCACTCTCACTGCACCGAGCCCTGGCTCGGAGGAGCTGCGGGAGACACGAGGGCTACTCAGAGCAGCAGCCCGGCAGCACCAAGAGCAGCCCCCAGAAGGCATCTTGGTCCTGGACAGCCGGTCAGCACCAGGGACAGTGTTCCCAGTGGCGCCACCGACTGCTGGGGCTCACAGAAAGCTTGGTGAACACACTGGAGCCCACAGGGGACGCCAGGGCCACCTGACAGCTGACTGAGGGCAGTGCCCGTGACCCCCCAGCTGGGATCCATCTTGCCCCTGCCCATGCATCTCTGGGAACCCCTTCACCTGAGTTGTAGGGCTGGGCGGGAGCCTGAGGTGATGATACCTATGTCATCAGCTTCCTGTTTCTCCCACAAGCCCATGATGGACCGGAACAAAGCAGCTGAGCTCCCCAAGCTACAAGTCGGCTTCATCGACTTTGTGTGCACATTCGTGTACAAGGTATGCAGCTGAGGCCTTATCCTGTGTTGGATAGGGCAGAGTGGCCAGGGACAGGAGGGGGCATGGGAGGGAACTTGCATGCCTAACCACAGAAGGCAGACCATCACAACCAGCATGCACCCCAGTGGCCAGCCCTGACCTGTCCTCAGAACTGCAGCCCTGAGCACTTCCCTGGCAGAAATTCCTGGTTCACCTCAGGTCACACAGGTCACTGCTTCTGAGAGCCCCTCCCACCCACAGCCCAGTCTTTAGGCAAGGATGCAGCCTGCCTGCAGGGTCTGAACTCTCAAGGGTAGGTCTGGGTCTGTCTGTCATCACAGGTACACCCTGCCTGAAAGCAGCCACATTCCCACAGCTAGTACCCTGGTGAGCCCTTTAAGTTCGCTGTTTGGTTCCCAAAGACCTGGGGCAGAAATTGCAAAGCCCCTGTGGTGCAGCAGCACTGCACCGGGCTCCAGACTGCTGTGGCATATGGCCGGACGGACTCCACCTGTAAGGAAGATGTCTGGCTCTAAGTGAAGTTAGTCCTGACCAGCCAGGCAGAGCCAAGGACCCTCCCTGGGCTGGCGGTCACAGGCCACAGCCCCTCAGTGGGTACCTACTGCCTTCCTCCGCCCCTCCACACCATGTAACATATATGTGCACGTGTAGTGTGTAACTGTGATCTTCAGTGTGCATGTGGCTGAGCATCTGTGAGCTGCCCTGACCCCTCCCACGTCCACGGGTTCCACTCCATTCCCGGGACCCTCCTGCCAACACTGTCCAGAGCACTCCTTCCATGAAGCAGCTCTTTGCACAAGGTCTCAAGCCTGTCCTCTCCGTGGGGCTTTGCTGGTTCTCCAGCTGAGGGCCAGCAAGGGCTGGAGAAAAGGAGCAAAGGCCTGAGCCTGCCCGGGCAGTGTGACAGTGCCTCGACTCCTCATGGTTCCCTCCAGGAATTTTCCCGTTTTCATGAAGAAATCCTGCCCATGTTCGACCGACTGCAAAACAACAGGAAGGAGTGGAAAGCACTGGCTGATGAGCACGAGGCCAAAGTCAAGGCTCTGGAGGAGAAGAAGAAGGAAGAGGAGAATGTAGCAGCCAAGAAAGGTTGGGCGCCCTACCCCCATGCTAGAGCTGTGCATTGCAGAGAACAGCTGAGTGACTTGGAGATAAGGATGCTTCCGATAGCCCAGTGGCTGGTGTACAGCTCAGAGACTCCCCGCCAGACACAGCTGCTCACACCACACAGCGTATTCCCAAACAGGAGCTCATGCTCTGTACAGGGGAAGTCTGTTCCCCAAACTCCTGATAGCCCTTTGTCCCAAGTTAGGCATGGGTGGGGACACAGGCTAGTAACCTCAGCCTGTGAAGGAGGATTATGAGTTTGAGGTCAGCCAAGGTTATATAGCAAGACCATGTCTAAAAAAAAAAAAAATTCTCGCTGGATGCAGGTGGCTCACAACTATAATCCTAGCTACTCAGAGGGCTGAGATTGGGATCTGAGGATCACACTTTTTTATTTTTGGGTCCAGTTGTGGGACCTGAACTCTGGGCCTGGGCGCTGTCCCTCAGCTCTTCAGCTCAAGGCTAGCGCTCTACCACTTGAGCCACAGCAGCACTTCTGGCTTTTTTTGCTTATGTGATACTGGGGAATCAAACCCAGGACCTTCATGCATGCAAGGCAAGCGCTCTACCACTGAGCCACCTTCCCAACCCCATGGATCGCACTCTTCAAAGCCATCCTGGGCAGACAAACCTGACTGACACATCTCCATTAACCACCAAAAAGCCAGAAGTGGAGCTGTGGCTCAAGTGGTAGTAAGCATGAAGGCTCGGGGCCAGCACCCAAGCCCAGAGCTCAAGCCCCAAGACTGACACCAAAAAGAAAAACAAAGTTAAATAGCAACAGGAAATCTAGCCATACTCCCATTAAGCTTCCAAAGCAAAACAGCAAGCCTAAAACAAGACACAGATTTGAGCAAAGCAAACATTGTCTTTCATGATGTCATGTCTTTCCATCCCACAACCCAGGCTAGGACTCAGTTGAGAGTTAGTTAGCGCACCCAGGTCAGCCAGTATGAGAGTTAGCGCACCCAGGTCAGCCAGTAACACTGTATCGTCACTGGCGTTTGGCAACCCTCGCTGCTTTTCTCCTTCCTGCCTTCTTGTGCCACGGGGTAAGAGACGAATGTGAGCCAGGCAGCTTAAGGGTCATGGCAGGCCAAGACCGAGAGTAAGCAGGGCATGGTGTCAGCAGGGCTCAAGCATTAGCTGAGACTCAGCAGGTAATCCGCTTGGACTGACCACACACCCAGCTCAGCCTCTCCTGCTGGCCTGGTAGAGGGCATGGGGCAGAGACGGCAATGAAGGTTCTGTTTGTCTTCTCTTGTAGTGGGCATGGAAGTCTGCAATGGTGGCCCGGCGCCAAAGTCTTCTACCTGCTGCATCCTGTGAGCCCTGGACCGGGCTGCCAATCCCTCCTGCTACTGCTACTTACACACTGGACCCTGCCTCTGCAGTCTGGTATATGTTAGAAAGCAAAGAAAATGATTGAGCATAACTGAGTATTTTGAAACTAAGGTTGTGTTTTTTATAAACTAAAGCCAACTGTGACTTAGGTGGTGTAGCCCACGTAACTAATCAGTTTTTTGGTTTTTTTGCTGGTCCTGGGGATCAAATTCTGGGCTTGGTTCTGTCCCTGAGCTCCTTTTTGCTCAAGGCTAGGACCCACCACTTGAGCCACAGTGCTACTTCTGGCTTTTTCTGCGATTAATTGGAGATAAGTCTCACAGATTTTCTTGCCTTGGCTGGCTTTGAACTGTGATCCTCAGATCTCAGCCTCCTGAGTAGCGATCACAAGTGTGAGCCACTGGTGCTCTGCTCACCAGTCTTTCAGATAGTTTCCACAAGAAGATCTCTAACTTGGGTCAGTGAACTGTTGAGTGGAGCCATCCAGAACCAACATGTACATACGTGTACATACCTATATGGTAGACAGCATCCACATACCCCATCTTGTTTAGCAAAATCATGCCCAGGAACTCAAAATAAAACTCGACCTGCTCACTTTTTACAAAGTAGAATCATTGTGGAGGGCACTCATATGTGACCTAGTCAGGACATTCTACCACAAAGGTCAAGGCCATGAATAGCGAGAGCAGTAATCCAAACAGAGGTCTGAAGGGAAGAATTATACTAACCACTGGAGTGCAACTTGAAGCTAAGCCTCCTACCAGCAAGGCCTCCACAGCCCGTACTCTGCATGACTTCATGTAGGCAAGCTGGGAAGGAGCAGCAGAGGCAGTTCACCGGGATTCATTGTATAAGGAAAAAAGGCTTCTAACTCACGGTGACCCAAAACATCTGCTCCCTTGATAGTCAACTGGATAGGGTCATTCCTGAGAGCAGAGGGGAGGGTGGACACGCCCAACATTATCATCTACCTGCTGCAAACAGGAGCCAGTTCAGTATTTGTTTTCACCTCAGTGACTCCTGAGAGAGTATAGCAAGGAGCAAGGGATACAGGACCTGGCCACACCGTAAGACCCAGGCGCTGCATACCAGGTGGTAGTGGGGTGGGGGGGTGGCACTGGAGATTCAAACAACACCTTAATATACAGGGCTCTGAGTTCATATAGTCGCACCTCTTCACTCACTTTACAGAACGGGGGAAACACATTTGGGGCCCCAGCCCTGAGATATGTGCTCAAGGCATAAAGCTGGAAAATAGCCACAACCACCTAGTCCACTCCACACCTGCAGCCCAGGGTCTGGCCTGCTCTTAGCAAGCAGGAGCCTGGGGGTTCCCTGGGGAAAGAACACCTCAGGAACAACTCAGCTCACTTCTCTGAGCTTTCGTCTCAAGATCAGCCAAGACTCCACCACCTAGAGAACTGGACTGGGCAATGAATACACGATCCCATGCGGGACCCTCCTATGTCCTACGCCTATCCAGGGACATGTGCCCAGAACAGAGCAAACTGCACTCTGTCCCCTACCACCGTGTGCGCATACACACTCCAACCCGTCCCAGACAGAACAAGCACTAGTTTTGTCTTTCTGTACTTTCAGTGTGCCAACTACACTTTAGGTCTGTACCAAATGATTCTCCTTAGTTCTTTCAAATTTCCCCTAGGCCCCAACAATCAGGAAAATAATCCAACTGCTTGGGACAGTAAGGAGAGGGGAGCCAGAGCATCACAAACCAAGTTTTTATTCATCTGATGGGGCTGGAAAATGGCAGAGCTGGTGCCTCTCACTTAAGTATGCTGTCTTCCTGGGCTGAAAGGTCAGAAGAGACAAAGCGTCAGACATTATTGCTCTCTGAGGCCACCTTAGAGAACCTTGGGGTTTCAGTTTCCAAACCACCCAGATTCTGGAAGTGGTACTGTGGCTCAAGCGGTAGAGCGCACACCTTGAGCTGAAGAGCACAAGGACAGCGCCCAAGCCCAGAGTTCAAGACTTACGACTGACAAAAAAAAAGAAACAAAAAAACAAAAACAAACTATCCAGATTCTAACTCAAATGAAGCCAGGAGTGCTGAGTTACCTCCAGGTAACGTGACTTGGGTCTGCTGGGGTCCGCTGCTCTGTTGTGGCCTCTCTGGACCGGGTCCCCAAGGCAAACTGCCACAGGCCGCCCCAGCCTGGCACTCGGAACCCCAGGTGGTGGGAAGGGACACCCTCCATCCTCCACTAACCCTGCATCCCGACCTCCACCAGTCCTCCCTCCCTCCACGCGCCCTCCCCCAGCCCTCACCGGGCCGGCCGCGTACCTTCGGCCAGCTGCCTCTCAATCCGCTTCAGCTCGTCCTGCCTCTTCTTCTCCTCCGCCGCCACCCTCCTCTCCTCCTCCGCGCGGGGCTTCAGGTAACCTGGAGGGCAGGGTTAGCTCTGAGCGGGGCCGGGCTTCCCCCGAGCCCCCCAG